GGATAAGGACCTAACCCTAGCTCTGCAGTCCTCCTGACAGGATCCAGATCTAACCCTAGCCCTTCAGTCCTCCTGACAGGATAAGGACCTAACCCTAGCTCTGCAGTCCTCCTGACAGGATCCAGATCTAACCCTAGCCCTTCAGTCCTCCTGACAGGATAAGGATCTACCCCTAGCTCTGCAGTCCTGACAGGATCCAAATTTGACCCTAGCCCTGCAGTCCCCCTGCCAGGATCAGGATCTAACCCTAGCCCTGCAGTCCTCCTGACAGGGTCAAGATCTGACCCTAGCTCTGCAGTCCTCCTGACAGGATCCAGATCTAACCCTAGCTCTGCAGTCCTGACAGGATCCAAATTTGACCCTAGCCCTGCAGTCCACCTGACAGGGTCAGGATCTAAACCTAGCCCTACAGTCCTCCTGACAGGATCAGGATCTAACCCTAGCCCTACAGTCCTCCTGACAGGATCAGGATCTAACCCTAGCCCTACAGTCCTCCTGACAGGATCCAGATTTGACCCTAGTCCTGCAGTCCTCCTGACAGGATCAGGATCTAACCCTAGCTCTGCAGTCCTCCTAACAGGATAAGGATCTAACCCTAGTCTTGCAGCCCTCCTGACAGGATAAGGATCTAACCCTAGCCCTGCAGTCCTCCTGACAGGGTCAGTATCTAAACCTAGCCCTGCAGTCCTCCTGACAGGATAAGGATCTAACCCTAGCCCTGCAGCCCTCCTGACAGGATAAGGATCTAACCCTAGCCCTGCAGTCCTCCTGACAGGATCTGGATCTAACCCTAGCCCTGCAGTCCTCCTGACAGGATCTGGATCTAACCCTAGCCCTGCAGTCCTCCTGACAGGATCTGGATCTAACCCTAGCCCTGCAGTCCTCCTGACAGGATAAGGATCTAACCCTAGCCCTGCAGTCCTCCTGACAGGATCTTTCTGAAGTTGTGAGGAGAGCAGAGGTTGTTGAATTTCTGCTGTGATTCAGATGTGGCTGAAATGTGAGCAGCAGACAGCAGCTGTAGGAAGTGAAATCGGATGATTTCAGTGACCTCTGCAGTCTCCTTCATGATAGTGTTTCATGTTCTCAGCACAGAGGACAGTTTGTGTTCAGCTCTGTCTCTGTGTGACTCAMCATGTTTTCACTTCATGCTGTCTGTCAGAACAAACTAAATCAGAGCTCATGAAGCAGCTGATGCGCAGAAGGAAATAAACTGAAAATATGGTCGTCTTTTTTCCTTTTTGGTGGTCTGCTGGATAAATTTAAATGTTAATGGGTTGCAAAGAATGAAGAAACAAAATGTTTCTATCAGAACCATATCAATAGCTCATGTTAAGCTGCTGTGGATGTTGCTTCAGTGCTCACTGTGCTAAATAAATCTGCCAAAACACTGCGTTTGAAACAAGTTATGTTGTTACATGTTCTCTCATCCTCATGCATGGACCAGAGGCTTCATGTGTCTGAAGTAAAATAAACTTTGATTATTTTGGATCTGCAAAATGTTTATTGTGGTGAATTTGTTTTCACTCTATAAACGTTGTACAGATGCCTTAATGATGATTTTAAAGTCCCAACCTAGGGCTGGGCGATAAATCGATTTAATTGATTAATTCAAATTTTCTATTTATAAAGATTTAATTTTGGGAAAATCTGGATTTTTTTCCTGCCAGTCCTCTTTGGGGCTTCTGTAGTTCAGAGTTCACCCCACCTGTCCCCCAAGAAGCTTGATATATGACATGACAATATGACAGCTAGCAAAGAGGATCTACTTCCTTAAAAAGGCACAGTTTCTTCAGTTTTCTGGAACTGCTGAGATTTCACAGCCTCAGACTTGGAGCAACAAACACCTCACTGCAAAAGCTGTTTGAAGGCTTTTGCTGCAAAAAGCAGGAGTACAACAAATTAGTTTCAACACCTGAAACAGAGGCACTCTGTTAAGTAGGTAACAAAATTGATTAATATGGAAAATCAGTTTTGAGGTTTTTTTGGGCCGTATTGCCCAGCCCTATCCCAACCTGAAATGGTTCRCTTCAGGTGTTAGAAGATGCCTGCATGTCTTTCACCCCTCTTGGTATTTTTTTTTTCTCTTTTGTTGCCCTGAAACAGTTTAACAGTAATTTTAATTGCATTTAGGATTGGGGTGTCCCGATCCGATATTGATATCGGTCCGATATCAGCAAAAAAAACGAGTATCGGATTTTATCGGCCTGCATAAAAAATGTCTGATAAAATTGCTCTGATATAAGCAGTCCAGTCCAGCAGTCCACTGACTCCGCTCTAGTGTTTCTATCCAGCAGCACTTGGATCCAGCATGTAGAGCCTACAACAACATGCTGCGCCAACAAAGTTGCAAGAAATAGGAGCCATGTCGGCAGTACTTTCTATTTTCATCAAAAACAGAGTTGAAGCTAAGTGCAAAATTGTCATGCACAGGTTTTCTGTGTGGGCACAGAACCATGAATGTTTTAAACCGGAGAGACAACCAGCTATGCAGTTCGGCTCGGTTCGGCCTCGGTCCAGTGTGTCTCTATTTCCAGCCACGCTGTTTCAGAACGTCCTCTCCGGTTCGGTCGGTGGTTCTATAAGCGAGGACAGCACGCTTATGATTTTTACATCAGCAGAATGCTGCCCGTGGATTAGCTCTGGGATTGATGGACAGAAGAAAGGAGAGCGCAGCTTTTGTTTTGGAATACAAGCATGACATGGCGAGAGCAGTGATAAACTGCTCCCTGCAGGAGCCAGAGGCTAATCTCCATGTGATGCTCAAACTGTAGAAAAGGGAAATGCAGCAGCTATCAATTTAAATAACTGACTAATTCTGACAATATAWTTTGTGCTCTTGTTATTAGAGTGATGTTTAATCTGTCTACACACTTGTTTTAGTGAARATTAAGTGCAATGATCACGTTGTTTTGGGCACAGTCAGTAAAATTGAAGCTGTGGGCTCTTAACTTGGAACAGTTGGACATTGGGCAATAATGTGTGGTTTTGTTTTGGCCCCACCTTCAGTTTTTCCCACCATAAAGCAGCACAAGGCTTTATTTTATTATTTTATTCACCATTATTTTACCAGGCAAGTCCCACTGAGATCTCAGATCTCTTTTTCAAGGGCGGCCTGGGCCTGAAGGCAACCTATTGTACATGTTTTGTGGGGTTGGGGAAACCAGAGTACCCGGAGAAAACCCACGCAAGCACGAGGAGAACATGCAAACTCCGCACAGAAAGACCCCAGGTCCGAACCGGGGATCGAACCCAGGACCTTCTTGCTGTGAGACGTCGGTGCTAACCACTGAGCCGTCGT